AATTTCCAACTCTGACTCTCTTTTCATTTTCCTGGTTGTGGGATCTGGCCCCATCAGCTTCAGGCACTTAGTTGAAGCTTTAGCTGCTGCTGCAGTCTCTTTTCACTTAGCCAGCTTCCCATTTTATTCAGAACTTCATCAAAACCCCCAGCAACAAGGGGGCCCCCAGGGTCTTTAGCAGCAGCAGGGGCCCCGGGATCCTGAGCAGCAGCAGGGGCCCCAGGGGTTGCTGCAACACCGGGGGCCCTAGCCTGTTTAGCAGCAGCAGGGGCCCCAGGGCCCTTAGCAAGACCAGGGGCCCCAGGGCCTTTAAGTGGCTGCATTAGGCCTCTCTTGAGGGGGCCCTGAGGCCCTAATTTTCCTAAAAGGGACTTGAAGGCCGCCTGGCCAATGCAGTTTATGGGTCCCCCATGGGGGCCCTAGGGGCCCCCATGGCGCCGCCCAGTGCCGCTGAAGGGCAGACAGAAAGTACAAAGTCAGAAGTTTTCAAAAGACATAAATTACAAACTCAAAAGTCTTCAATTCTAAAAAAGTTTTATTCTTTATTGTGGATAGAGCGACAGGTTGGCAGCAACTTAGCAGCTCATGGCTGCAGCAGCAGCTTCTCTCCTGAGGCTGGCCAAGGCTGCCGCTGCAGCTTTTGAGGCCCAAAAGAAGCCCCAAAAAACATTTAAGGCCACTTCGAAACTTGGGACTAAGGGGCCTCCGGGGGCCCCAAAAGGAAGGGCCCTTAATAGAGACCAGAGGGGCCCCATGGGCTTCAGCCCAGCGGCCAAGATCTACTGGGGACTCTTGGGGCTACTGCGGGCTATTGGGGGCTATTGGGAACTACAGGGGGCCAGGGGAGCTACAGGGGACTAGAGGGGCCTTCAGGGACTTCAGGGGACTCGAGGGGCCTCGAGGGGCCTCGAGGGGACTAGGAGGGGATAGAAGGGACTAGAGGGGATTAAAGAAGTTGGGGGGGCTATTAAGGGCCTGTGGGGACTTGTGGAGATTTGTGGGGACTAAAAGGCTTCAGGGGCTAGAAAGGGTTAGAGGCCACTTGGCGGGCTTTTTATTGGGGGCTATTTAGTGGGGGCTATTTATGTGGGGCTATTTATGTGGGGCTATTTGTGTGGGGCTATTTGTGTGGGGCTATTTATGTGGGGCTATTTATGTGGGGCTGTTTGTGTGGGGCTATTTAGTAGGGACTATTTAGTGGGGACTAGTTAGTAAGGGCTAGTTGGTGGGGACTAGCAATTGGGGGTATTTAGTGGGGCTAGTAAGTGTGGGGCCATTGAGTTGGGGCAAGTAAGTTGGGGCAAGTAAGTTGGGGCTAGCTAGCCGCTTAGCTAGCTAGCCGTTCAGCTAGCTAGCTGGCTAGCTAGCCGTTCAGCTAGCTAGCTGGCAAGCTGGCTTGGTATTCTGGCTACTTAGCTATTAGTTAGTGGGGGCTAGTTAGTGGGGGCTTGTTAGTGGGGCTAGTTAGTGGGAGCTCTCAAGTGGAGTCTACTAAGCCAGACTATGTCAGTAATTAAAGGCGCTGTGCTAGAAAGCAAAGGGGCCATGCTAGTAACTAAAAGGACTATGTTAATAATCGAGGGCTAGTTAACTTAGTGGGGCCTTTTTCTTTTTGTGGGGCTGGGGGCTGTTGGGCTTTGGCTAGGCTCGAAGGCTTTCGTGGGGCCAGGCTTGTAAAGTTTTATTTAAACTTACAAAATAACAACATAATAATTGTAAAATGATATATTATTATTTTGCAAATCTAAATAAAAAATTAGAAAATAATAATATATTATTGCAAGTAGAACTTGAAGGAGATATAAAAGTATTACTGGGAGTGGGGCTGGGCTCGGGCACCGTGAGCGGCGGCGCTTAATTGGCATTTCTTTCTTTCTTTTCCTTCTTCTTTTCTTTTTTTTGAAACAAACAAATTTCCAAAAAAGAGCATTTCGAGGCCTGAGGCCTCCCCTGTCTCCCTTCAATGGGTTCAAAGCTGAGGGCTGCTCTGCGCTGGTGCATCACTGCTGCAAGGGTTTAGGGTTTGGGGTTTGGGGTTTAGGGTTTAGGGTTTAGGGTTTAGTCCACGGCCATATTCCCGCTGAGTAGGCAGGTGGGAGCTGCAGGCTCCACTGCCGTGCTTTCCTCCTTTTCCTGCTTTTGCCTCTTGAATTAAAAATCAGCAACCAGGAAAAGCAGCAGCAAATGTGGTGGCTCCGAAGAACTTGCTCTTAGCCAAAAGCCGAGGACAAATGCCATTCTTCTAAAAGAAGAATGGCAGTGGCAAGAGGCGAGTTAACTCGAAGCAATGGCTGGCCATTTGAAGCCCGTTTGGCGTGGTTTTGAAAATATTAAAAATGTATATCTTGCAAAAAACGAGTCCCGTTTGCATGCATGCGTCTGCAAAAAGCAGACCCCAAGGAGTTTGCCTGAGGCTGCTTCAAATTCTTCTCTTGCCAGCCCCCAATTTGGTTTAAATTTAGAGAAAAGACTTATTTCTCTTTAGAGAGCAATTACTTTTACTTAAAGCTTCTGCCCCAAATTTTGAACTGGGGGGCCCCTGAGGCTGTTTCTGGGCTACACTGTAATGCTGAGCACTTCTTTTTAAATATTGCAAACTAGAGGCCCCTAGGGGCCCCTAAGACCCTGTGGGCCCCCGGGCCTTATGGGGGGCCCCTAAGGCCCCCTGTAAGGCCCGTGGCGCCCCCTCCAAGAGCTCGTAGGACTCTCGAGGACAAATGAAGCTCTCTACGACCTTTAGGGCCCCAGCTGGGGCCCCTATGGCCCCGTTGAAAACCTTCACCGTTCCATATGAGACCCCTAGGGCCCCCTCTGGGCCTCGTAGGGCCCCCCGAAGGACCCTTAAGGCCCCTTCTAGGGTCTTCAGGGCCCACCCTGTGGCCATTTGGGTCCCGTAGAGGGCCTTTGGGGCCCCTGTGGGCCCCCTAGGGCCCCCGCTAGAACCCCCATGCGGGGTCGTTTAAATTTGTTTAGAAATGAATAAGCCCTTTTTGTCTTTGCTGCTGAAAGGCCTCTCACGGGGCCTCAGAGCTGCGGCGCTGCTGCAGCGTCAAGTCCGAGAAATTTCTTTTTTGCAACTTTGGTGTTTTAGCCAGGAAGCACTTTTCCTACGCATGCGTTTCTGGTTGGGACATTTTTGGCCAGAAAATACCCACCGAAATCCAGAAGCAATCTGACTCTTTTGCTGGACGTTTGCCCTCAGCCGCTTCAGGCTGCTGCTGCTGCTGCTGCTGTTCTAAAGTAACTCTAATAACGCAACTAGCTGCGCACAGTGTTGTAGCTGTTTCTGTCTTGTGTTATTTTCTTCTTCTTCAATCTCCCAAGAGGGCCATTTGTTCCTTCTCCCTTTTGGAACTTCTGCGCGCTCCAGAAAAAACCTTACCCGGACTTTGCAGTTCACCAAGTCTGGCATTTTTTCACGAATTCTCAAGTTGGAAGTCTAAACTCATTTAGAAGATTACCAGACTTGAACAAGGGACTGGGGACTGCTGCAGAAGCAAAAGTGGAAGAAAATTCGCGCTGCTAGCTACTTAGCTAGCTACTTAGCTAGCTACTTAGCTGGATACTTAGCTAGTTACTTTGCTAGCTAGTTTTCTAGTTACTTAGCTAGCTAGTTAGCTAGCTACTTTGCTAGCTAGTTAGCTACTTAGGTAGCTAGTTAGCTAGCTACTTAGCTAGCTACTTCGCTAGTTACTTAGCTGGCTAGCTAGCTAGCTACTGCCTAATAGCACTTCTAGGGACGCCCGTTGGCGCAGTCCATTATTGGTTAGGCAACAGCAGCAAAGTGTGCAGCTCTAGTGGGGTCCAAATTGAAGCTGGTGCTGCTGGGAAACATAAAAATGAAAAATATAAATAAATAAATAAATAAGTAAGTAAGTAAGTAAATAAATAAATAAATAAATAAATAAATAAATAAATAAATAAATATTTAAATAAATAAATAAATAAATAAATAAGTTGAGAACATCTGCCTTATTCAAATGACGTCATTCTCTCTATTGAAGGATTTTGTCTTAAGCGTTTGAACTCCCAGTGGGGCTGCATGCACCACGAGGAGCTGCTGGGGCTTGTGAGTGGACTAAAAGGGTTTTAAATGAATTAAATTTGAATAAAAGAATAAATTAAATAAAACAATTCAACATTTTGGAGTTTTCCCCGTTAATTTTGTGCAGAAACAGCAGCAGGGCCCCCGGAAATGCTGCTGCCGCGGGCGGCGCTCGGGGGCCCCCCGGGGGCCCCCGGGCCTCTCTGGGGACTCCGAAAAGGAATTAAATGCTTTAATTTGCAAAATATAATCAAATTAAATGTTTTAAATTCTTCTGAAGAGTTTAAAATGGCGAAAACGGCCGCGCACAACTTCCAGGCGTTCAGGTGTATGTCCATCTTGCACAACCGCAACAGACCCCCTCGGCTGCGAGTCCGGGTGAGCTTTCGCGGGGAATAAATGCAAAAGGGGCATTTTAAACATTAAAATTAATTAAAATTAATTAAAATTAATTAAAATTAATTAAATTAATTAAATTAAATTAAATTAAATCAAAACAAACCAAAAGGATTCGAAAACTGCCGCTCACTCTCCCCGGAACCGCATCTGCACACAACTACAGCGCAAAGGCCACATTTGCATGCAACTTTTCGCACGCGCCGCTGCTGCTGCTGCTGCTGCTGCTGCTGCTGCTGTTGCTGCTGCTGCTGCTGCTGCTGCTGCTGCTGCTGCTGGGCAGGGCCTGCCATTTGGGGCGAAGAAGGAGGACTTGTTGGAGTTCTTCAAGGGCTACAAATTGGCCTCTTCTGAAGATTCAATTTTCATGATTTTAACCAAAGACAAAAAACCCTCTGGAGAGGCTTTTGTGTTTTTCGCAGACGCCCAGGAGGCTCTGAGGGCCCAAAAAGAAAAACACCTCAAGTTCCTCGGAAACAGGTCCAAACCCTAAACCCTAAACCCTAAACCCTAAACCCTAAACCCTAAACCCTAGAGGCGAAGGCCCGGGCTCCAGGCCCCTGGGCTCAGGTGTACGTACACCCGGCGGGCCACTGCGGGCGTTTGTGCATTTGTTTTTTATTTGAATTATTTCTTAAATTCAAAACATATTTATTATAATAGTACAATATATTTTATATATACATACTAATTATAAAATATATTATATTTATTATTTTTAACATGTAAAATGGACATATTTTTGTGTACAAATGCATGCACTGCACACTTATTTACAAGTGCATGCAGCAGCAAACAAACTTAGTCTTTTTTCGTTTATTAGAAATGGCCATTTTTATATTTGTGGAGTTATCTGTTCCTCCGCAGAAGATGCTCAGGTGTACGTACACTCGAACTGCATGTGCATGCAGTTTGGGTGTACGTACACCTGAGCATATCTGCCCATGCACTTTCGAGAGCAATCCGAGATTGCAGAAATGTTTAAAGTCCTTTATTTGCATGCATTTGTAAATGTACTTATTTATTTAAAACAGTTTATTTAAAACAGTTTTTCACAAATGCATTTGCAAGACGCATTGCTGCTGCTGCGCTGCGGTGTACGTACACCTCGGGTGGGGGTCGCGACTGGTGTGCCTGTCGTCTTTTTTTCGTTTTTTTCGATTTTTTCGGATTTTAATCATTTAAATTAATTTTAAAACAATAAAAGTCAATTTAAATGCAATTATATTCTCAAAATGGTCTGTTGTGCAGATATTTGGAGCTGCTCGTGGACTTCAGCCTCGGCGACCCTCAGGGGTGGCTATACACCCGAGAGCTCAGCGAGCAAATAGACCGAAAACGCTACATTGGAGACAACCGATAGAGCCACTTCTTCTTTTTCAATTAAAAAACTAAAATTAAAATTAAAAAACTAAAATTAAAATATAAAATGCGAAAAAAGAATAAAAATAAGTCCAGTTCTCGCGCCCGCTGGGGCAGGCGCCCGCAAGCGAGTGCCGTAGCTGGGGTGTACGTACACCCCAGCCCACAGAATGGCGGGGAGCTACAAATGACAAAAGACAGATATTTAAATGAAATAAAAGATGAAATAAAGAAACATAACGTGGGAGACACTAACACGAAGAATACAAATGCAAAAATGCAGAAAAAGACCCCAAAACGAACATCTCAAATGCAAAACAAATCTTAAAATCCTCACGCCTCTCACCCCGCCAAGCCATATGTAAATACCCGCATACTTATAGGTTTTATTTTTGCGTAATATGTGCACGTCTTCACTACATAAAAATATATATAAATAAATACTATATAAATATATATATATATATTTATATATTGTACATATATACAATATATATATTTATGCATTATATATATATATTATATATATATTTGTTTATTTTAAAATAGACAGAAATAGAATTCAGATACACATATATATATATACACATATATATATGTATGGAAAGGCATTTTGTGAAATAAAGTATTTATCTGGACTGCATTGAACTTGTGTAAAAACAAACAAATGCCATTTCCACTTGCATGCATTGAAATAATAAAAAGACTTTTCGCATTTATCTACATTTGCACTTTCTGCATTTCGAAATGCAGAAAATACCATTTGAAGCATTTAATTTATTTATCATCTCCAGCTGCATGCATGCATTCTTTTTTTTGTTTTTCAACTTTTCGAAAAAACAAAAAGACCCAAAACCCTTTAATTGACTTGTCTTCTCTTTTGTCTTTCCATTTATTGTTTTCATCCCAAGTGGCACCTGCTGCTGCAGCAGCTGCTGCTGCAGCTGCTGCAGCTGCTGCTGCTGCTGCAGCTGCTGCAGCTGCTGCAGCACGCCAAACCCTAAACCCTAAACCCTAAACCCTAGACACTGGGAGCAGCCGCAAGGCCTACTCTTACTGCAGCTGTGCAACGGGTATCCTTTTGGTCTTCTTGTTTACAATTAATTGAATTAATTAATTAATTAATTAATTAATTAAATTAATTCAATTTAATTGATTTAATTCATTTAATTAATTCAAATGACGCATTAAAGAAGCAGCAGAAATGCCGGCCCGAAGCTCTTCATAAGTATCCCCTAAAAACAAAAAGACAGAAAAAAAAAGAAACAAATAAATAATAATTAATTAATTAATAAATTAATAATAAATAAACAAAAATATAATAAACAAATTAATAATAAATAAATAACACATAAATTAACAAATAAATGGATAAATAAATAAACCAGTAATTAAATAATTTGGTTAATACATTAATAACAGATAAACAAATAAATTGATAAACGAATGAAGAATAATGAACAAATAAAAAATAAATAAATGCATAAAAGCAACAACAGTGATAAATAAATGAACAGATAAATAAATAAATAAATAAATAAAAACAACAATAGTGATAAATAAATAAATAGAAATAATAATCGCAATAAATAAATAAATAAGAGTAATAATGGTGATAAACAAATAAATAAAAGTAATAATAGTGACAAATAAATAAATAAAAATAATAACAGCGATAAATAAACAAATAGATAAAAGTAATAATAGTGACAAATAAATGAAAACAATAACAGTGACAAATAAATAAATAAAAGTAATAATAGCGACAAATAAATGAATAAAAATAATAGCGACAAATAAATAAATAAATAAATAAAATAATAGTGATAAATAAATAAATAAACAAATAAATAAATAAATAAATAAATAAAATAATAGTGATAAATAAATAAATAAATAAATAAATAAATGAGCACCAACAAATGACAAATAATAAAATGATGAAATATGATTAAGGCGGGCGGGCGAAGAAAATGAATAAAATAATTAAATAAAAACAAATAATGATAATTATTTAATTAAAATAATTAAATAACAATTAAATAACAATAATTATTCAAATAATTAAATAACAATAATAATTATTTAATTAAAATAATTAAATAACAATTAAATAAAAATAATTATTTAACTAAAATAATTAAATAAACAAAAATTAAAAAATTAATAATTAATGAGAATAAGCAGAAGAAGAGCTGCTGCTGACTCGAAGAAGCGCTGAATTTGGTTCAGCACATGAAACCCTAAACCCTAAACCCTAAACCCTAAACCCTAAACCCTGAGGGTTTCATGGGCCCTATCTAGCAGAGAACACACGAAGAAGAAGCAGCAACAAACAGCTCAGAAAAAGTTGAGCCTAGGGTTTAGGGTTTAGGGTTTAGGGTTTAGGGTTTAGGGTTTAGGGTTTACGAATTGAGGATTCTTCGGCAGACAGCGGAAACACCTGCTGCTGCTGCTGCTGCAGCAGCAGCAGCAGCAGCAGGCCCCTCTCTGTGCAGCTCCTGGCTCGTGCTGCGGCTGAGGACTTTAAACATTTTATTTATTTTATTATTTATTTTATTATTTATTTTATTTATTTTTCTTTTTGTTATTTTGTTTGCTTCTCTCCTTGTCCTCAGCTGCACCCAAGAACCGTCCAGCAGAGAGTCCCAGGAAACCCCTGCTGCTGCTGCTGCTGCTGCAGCAGCACAGCAGCAGCACAGCAGCAGCACAGCAGCAGCACAGCAGCAGCGCAGCAGCAGCACAGCAGCAACGCAAAAAGATAACACTAAGCCAAAATTGACAATACACATAAATAATGTGCTAAGGTAGCAGCAAGTGAACAAGAGAGCAGCAGCAGCAGCAGCAGCAGCAGCAGCAGCAGCAGCAGAAGCAATAGAAGCAGTACACGCAGCAGCAGTAGCGGCACCAGTAGCAGCAGCACAAGTAGCAGCAGCACCAACAACAAACACGGCAGCAGCAGCAGAAGCAGCACGAGCAGTAGCAGCAGCAGCAGCAGCAGCAGCAGTAGCAGCAGCAGCAGCAGCAGCAGCAGCAGCAGCAGCGGCAGCAGCAACAGCGAAGAAGGCAAATAGAAGAGCACACGACTTTTAATTATTAATTAATTAATTAATTAATTAATTAATTAATTAATTAATTAATTAATTAATTAATTAATAATTAATGAAGACCCACCCAGGTCTTCGAGAGTGTGGGGCCCCACACTGCTGCTGCTGCCAGCAAAAGGCCAGTCCGAGACATTTGAGCAGATGCAGTGGGTGCTTGCTGCAGCAGCAGCAGCAGCAAACACGCAAACAGCAACACTGCAGCAGCAGCAGCAGCAACAGCAGCAGCGGCAGCAGCAGCAGCGGCAAATGGCCACGCTGCAGCAGCACTGGCAAGCATGCAAACAGCCACAATGCAGCAGCAGCAGCAGCAGCAGCATTAAACACGCACAACAGCCACGCACTGCAGCAGCAGCAGCAGCAGCAGCAGCAGCAGCAGCAGCACGGACGTCCAACGCCCGCTGCGAGCCTCAAGCAGCAGCCTGCGCTGCTCGCCGCCCGACCAATCTGCTGCTGCTGCTGCTGCTGCTGCTGCTGTTGCTGCTGCTGCTGCTGCGCAAAGCCGCCCCGGACGCATGCAGCCCCATTAAAGCGAGTTTGCTGCAGCAGAACTGCAGCAGCTTTCTGCATATTTGCTTCTTTTTTAAGAAACAAAAGGACCTTTTAACAGCAGCAGCGGGGGGAAGAAGGGGCTAAAGACATAAACAAAAACGGCCAGCAGCTTGCTGCCGCTGCTGCTGCTGCTGCTGCTGCTGCTGCTGCTGCTGCTGCTGGGAGCAGCAAGTGCGAGGTGTACATACGCCCGGATTTCACGAGCAAACGGCAGCTAGAGCGGCAGCTGCAGATCCGAATTGAAAAGTGTTTAAAAAGTCTTTTTAAGTTGAGATTGAAAAAAGAAAACAAATTAAATTAAAAATAAAAAATAAAAAATAAAAAATAAATTAAATGCTGCAGAAAAGAAGCACAAAAGACAGCACTGGCTTTCGCGTCGCTGCCCCAACACTGTCCGCCATTAAACGCCAAAATTGTCATTTTAGTTCATTTTAATTCATTTTAATTCTTTTTAATTCATTTTAATTCATTTTAATTCATTTAATTCATTTAAATGCGTTTAAATGCAACTTATTGTCCCGCAAAAGCCCCGAAATGACCCCCCAGCAGCACACCTGGGCAGCTCGGCGCTGCTGCCTTCGCCACGCCCAGACCTGCAGCAAGTACTGCAACTGGCGCAAAAAGCCTCATTTCCAGTTGAAAAGAATAAAAAGGCTCTTTCAAACAAATTAAAAAAGAAAAAAAGAAGAAATGAACGGCCTGGAGGTGCAGGATCGACGCGGTGTATCGGCAGAGCTGCCGAGACACCCAAGGACCAGCCCTGCTGCTGTACGTACAGCTGCTGCAGGCACTCGAGCCCCAGCAGCCTCAAACGGCCTTTAAAATTAGCGCTTTTGTTTAATTTTGGATTTATTTGAATACTAAAACGCTTGTTGTTCCATTATTTCGAAAAAAGAAAGAAAAATAATGCTAATTTCCCCCTGCACGGCCACCAGGCCGCCGGTGTCCGCTGGTCCAGTGGCTGCGGGCTCGTTCCTGTCTGTCGCTTCTCGACTCTGCTGCTTCCTTTTCCACTTTAATTGTCTAAAATATATTTCGTTTTTATTTCTTTTAATTATTTCAAAGATTTGAAGTTAAAAGGAAAAGAAAAGAAATCAAAAACAGCCCAAGTGGGGCACTTGGGGGCTCACCGCTGGGGGGCCCCCACATAAACAGCGGGGGAAAACTGTTATAAATTAAATTAATAATTCTAATTGCAATTACAGATGCAATTAGAAACATTAATTTAATTTATAATTCATATTTTAAATAATTCTGTTTTCTAAATTGCTTTTATTCGATTCAGTAGTTCCAACTGGAGTTCTGGTGAGGTGTACGTACACCTCAGCCCCACAGCAGTGACTCCGAGCCAGTTCGCTAGCCAGCCTGGCTGAACCCCTGGCTAGCTAGCCTGCTTGCTAGCCAGCTAGCTGGCCAGCTAGCTAGCTAGCTAGCTAGCTAGCCAGTTAGCTAACCAAATGGTTAGCCCTTCAGCCAGCTCAAGCAGCTAGCTAGCTGCCCGAGCAAGTAACCAGCTAGCTAAATAGCTAGCTAGTCACGTAATCAGCTAGCTAGCCGATTGGGCAGCTAGCTGCCCGATCGGATAGCTAGCTAGAATGCTGCCTAGCTGCCCAACCTGCTAGCTTGCCAGTTAGCTAGCTAGCTAAATAGCTAGCTAGCTAAAAAGCTAGCTAGCTGAATAGCTAGCTAGCTAAATAGTTAGTTAGCTAAATATCTAGCTAGCTAAATAGTTAGTTAGCTAAATATCTAGCTAGCTACATAGCTAGCTGGCCTAACCTGAAAGTCCGCCAAAGGCAGCAGTGAGCCATGAGACATAACTCCAAACCCAAACCCTCAGGCGTGAACCCTAAACCCTAAACCCCAAGCCCGAAACCCTAAACCCTAAACCCTAAACCCTAAACCCTAGACCGTAAACCGAATGGCAGTGCTTTTATGAGGTGTAGAGAAGGCGTTAGAAGCGCCTTTATCGCTGTCATGCGTGTTATTCCCCCAATGAGGGTTTAGGGTTTAGGGTTTAGGGTTTAGGGTTTAGGGTTTAGGGTTTGGGGGTTTGCACAGCTTTCACGAAATAGAAAGCCTGTGCCCAGCCCGCCAAAGGCCCGTATTTCGACTGCTGAAAACGCTGGAGGGTTTCGTAGAGCTGGGGAGACACTGAATTAGGGTTTAGGGTTTTGCTGCTGAAGCCCCCTCTGCTGCTGCTGCAGCTGCTGCTGCTGCTGCTGCTGCTGCTGCTGCTGTCTTGCTGCGCTGCAGCGCCGCTATTCCTGCCTGAAGCCAAACGAATCAAAATAGACAAATGAAATAATTAATTTAAATTAATTATTTGAACAATTAATTTAAATTAATTATTTAAATAATTAATTAAGATTAATTGTTTAAATAAATAATTAATTTAAATTACAAGTAATAATATACAAATGCAAACAAATAAAACTTAAACAAATAAAACAAAACAAAATCAAAAATCCATTTAATTCGACTACTTATATAATTTGAGACAAAAACAAATGCAGAGAGGCGAAAACACAAAAGACAAACCCTAAACCCTAAACCCTAAACCCTAGAGCCTAAACCCCAAGCCCTAAACCTAAACCCTAAACCCTAAACCCTAAACCCTTCACCCCAAACCCTAAACCCTCAACCCAAACCCAAACCCCAACCCACACCCAAACCCCAACCCACACCCAAACCCCAACCCTAAACCCTAAACCCTAAACCCTAAACCCTAAACCCTAAACCCTAAACCCTAGAGCCTGAAGCCTGGAGGCTGCAGCATGGGGCGTGAAACGGGGGGGATGAGTCGGGGGCGAGAAAAAGTGAAGACGAAAAAGGATAACCGAAAGACTAAGCCCCAAACCCTAAACCCTAAACCCTAAACCCTAAGTTAACGCCAAACCCTAAACCCTAGCCCCCAAACCCTCAACTGAACTCCAACCCCAACTAACAAAAACAAACCCTCCCCTGGGGCCCCCAGCAGCCCTCTCAGCGTGCATGTCCCTTCAAGGGGCCCCCAAGGGGCCCCCCAGGGGGCCCCTTGGGGGCCCCTCGAAGGCCCTTTGGAGCCCTTTGGGGGCCCCTAGGGGGCCCCCGGGGGCCCCATGGAGGCCTTTTGGGGGCCCCCAGGGGCCCCTGGGGTCCCCTGGAGCCCCTGAGGGGCCCCCAGGGGCCCCTGGGGGCCCCAGGGGGCCCCTAGGGGCCCCCGAGGGCCCCTAAGTCTTACGGAAACTGCATGAGCTCCTGAGTGGCCCTTTTGAGACTGGAGTAGGGGGGCCCCTCGGGCTGGGCGTGGGGCCAAACAAGTGCATGCAAGTAAGGGGGGCCCCCCAGCTGCTGCAGCTGCACGGCAGTTTCGTGCACGAAGCGGGCGCGGTAGCCCAGGCCTGCGGGCCCCACACGCAGCGCTAGGGTTTAGGGTTTAGGGTTTAGGGTTTAGGGTTTGGGGTTTGGCCTTCGGGGGGCTCCTAGCCACAAGGCCCCGCAACGCGGACCAGCGGGGGCCCCCAAGGACCCACAGAGGGGCTCTGGGGGGCCCCCCACACACCCTCCTTCTGAGGCCCCCAAGAGCCCCTGTGGGGGCACCTTTGGGGGCCCCTTTGGGGGCCCCTGTGGGGGCCCCTGTGGGGGCCCCTGTGGGGGCCCCTGGGGGGCTCCTTTGGGGGCCCCTGTGGGGGCCCCTGTGGGGGCCCCTGTGGGGGCCCCTGTGGGGGCCCCTGTGGGGGCCCCTGTGGGTATACTCCATAAGGAGCCCCACAGGGGGCCCCACAGGGGGCCCCACAGGGGGCCCCACAGGGGGCCCCAGGGGCCCCCCGGGGGCCCCTGAGAAGTCGATTTGGGTCGCTGTGGGGCCCCCTTGGGGCCCCCTGGAGGGCTGGTTTGGGTCTTTTAAAAGAAGTTTTGGAATTACCCAATTTGCGGAGTTCTTCTTCAGAAGAAGCAGCAAGAGATGAAACACTCGGAAAGGAAAACCAAGTTAAAAGGGGGCCCCCCGGGGGCCCCCCATCTGCAGTACCCTTTGCTATTTGTTGGCCCAGTTTGTGTCTGAGCTGTTTGACCATTTGTGTGATTCTGCAGAAGTGAAAAACAAATAAATAAATGATTTAAAATGCAATTAATTGAAATTTAATTCAAATATAATTCAAAAGAAAGTTAAAAAGATAATTGCAAAGATGGATGGTGGCCAGATTGGCAGCAAATGGACTTCAAAGAACGAAAATATCAACTGCAAGGGTTTAGGGTTTAGGGTTTAGGGTTTAGGGTTTAGGGTTTGGTGCCTTTGGATGTTGTTGTTTGAAGAACAAATAAAACTAAAAAGACTTTCCACAGGGTCTATTCGAAGCACTCGAATGCCGCAACTCTCAAAGCCCCATCTGCATGCAAACAAACAAACCCCAAAACTAATCCGAGGGTACTTTTGGGGGCCCCCGGGGGCCCCCCGAAAAGAAAAAGAAATAAAAAGAATTAAAAAAGAAAAAACAACAACAGATTTCGAGAAGAGATGAAAGAAAACAAAAACAAATATATCTGCAGATCAAAAAGAGATTTAAATTAGACAAAAATGACCAAAAAAGGAAACTCAAAAGCCCCCGGGAAGCCCCCAGGGGGCCCCCGGGGGCCCCCTGGGGGCCCCCGAGGGGCCCCCCGGGGGCCCCCCTTTCAAGTTTTGAAAATGAAGAAAAGAGGAAATGGAAGGGCAAAAAGAAAGAAAAGAGAAAAAGAAAGAAAAGAAGAAACAAATTAAAAACAAAAAAGAGAAAAGAAAAAAGAAAAGAGAAAAAAAGAAAAAAGAAAAAAAGAAAAAAAAGAGGAATAGGAAAAACGAAAAATAGCAAATTGGCGAAAAAATGAAAAAAAGAAAAAGAAAATTTGTTTTGATAAAAAGAAAGAAAAGAAAATAAAATTAATTGACAAAAAGAATAAACAATAATTCAACTTGAAAGTAAAACAAAAGGAATAAATTAAATTTAGAGAAACAAAAAGAATAAAAGAAATTGAAAAATAAAATAGGAAGGATAAAATGAATTTAAAATAAAATGAAATAAAATAAAACTAATTCACAAACATTTTTGCGAAAGAAGAAATAGAAATATTTAAATGAATAAAATGAAAGGAATAAAACAAATTTAAAATAAAATAAAAATACAATAAAATACTTTTTTGCAAAAGCAGAAATAGAAATATTTAAATGAATAAAATAAAAAGAAACAAACTTAAAATAAAATAAAATAAAACAGAATAAAACAAAATAAAATAAAATAAAATACTTTTTTGCAAAAGAAGAAATAGAAATATTTAATTGGAAAAAAAAATAAATTTTTTTTTTCTGATTTTCTACGCAGCCAAAGTCTTCGCCGGCCATACACCTGAAGAAGCAGAAACAGAAATTAATTTTTAATTTAAAATAAATAAATAAATTAATTTTAAAAAAAATAAATAATAAATAAATAAACGAGTAAATAAATAATAAGTGAATAAATAAATAAATTAATTAATAAAATAATAAATAAATGATAAATAAATAAACGAGTAAATAAATAATAAGTA